CTCATAGACTTCTATACAACCAGAGGAGTCGCCCCCTGGTGGTCACTAGAGAGAATACAACGGAAGTTGCCGATTGGTTAGATCCAATTGCCTTTTACATCATTTTCAGAGAACTATAGTTCTTGCACATCGTACTGATTTTTGACAGTGAACCATTGTGGCAGCATCCGTTTCTTTCCACCAACCACTTTAGGACCACCATCACGAATGTATCGCTCTGTTGACAGCTGAGTGGCTCTCAGGTCATCCTGTGGGTGTCTCGAGATCAGCGACTGTCTCTTTTTTAAATCCCCGTTTTATGAGAATCAAAGCAAAGCTCGGATGAAAGCTTCATCCTCTCACAAGGCCAAACAAAACTTCAGGAGGATCAAGAGACATAAGTGCTTGCAAACAAACCGAGAGGGTACTGTTTATACACAAACGCTGCACCTTTTCATCCTGGTGTGTAGATTTTATCCTCATTGAGGAAATACGAGAATACACACACATGTGCATCCATAAATAAAGACAAACACAACTTCTTTCAGACTTTAGTCCATGAAAGCTCTGCCAATTGTTGTTTGAAAGAAACTGGAGTCCTTTTTCCATTCTTGCAATCTGCCCACGTAGGACCCAGTAACGTTTTCTACATGGTTCATGGTGGAAGCAGTAAAAGCAGCTACATTCCATCAACATTACAAGGTTGTTAAATGTGATCAATCATTAAAGACGAGTATACGATGCTTTAAATGCCTTTTCATTACAAAAATCTATTTGAAGCAGCAGATTTTCCTCTGAGGAAACGTCTGCAGGCCAAACACCATTGAAAAAAGTCAAATGTTCTCGCGAGTAGCTGTTGTTGTTGTTTTCCACATACAGGCCGATGACAAGAATTTGACCCTGTTTAACTTAACTAAGCAAGTTGAGGGCAAACTGCTGAGTAAGTGCCCATAAATGTGATGGACACTGGTGCCGGGGTCGTCAGAGGTTCGACCAAGTCAATATTTTTCAAGTTTAAACTCAGCACTCGAGTCCTAAACTTTGAGTTTTGATTCCTAAACAAGTCTTTACGCACTCTTAACCAAATGTAATGCCATTTGCGTCTCCATCTGTAGTTTTGCAAACCAGCACATTTAGCATACTGCAATTCATTTCTTGTTGACCACCGCATAGTTTTTGAATGAAATTATTGATACAAGGCTCGGCAACATCACGTTTGTTCTTCATGGCTCTCTCCTGCAACTTGATTGGATGCTGACGGATTGGTTCACACAAATAGTTTCGGGTGGATTGAGTGTGGACTCGCTGAGAACGAATGGTATTAACATGAGTTGATTCAGTGGATTCGTAGCACACTCTTTAGATAACATTATACATTTTTTTTTATTTTTGGACTTGGGGGAAGCTATCAACTATTTCCAAGTCGAAAAGAAGTGGCGAGTCATTGGTGTTGAAGTCCAAGTCGAGTTGCAAGTCTTTTTTGATTTCGTCAAGTCGAGTCTCAAGTCATCAAAGTTGACTCGAGTCTCAAGTCATGAAACTGGAGTCCACACCTCTGGTAGTTGCTGCAGCCTTCCGAGTAAAGCAAACGTTGCTTTCTGAGCAATTTGAAGCATTTATTTTTAAAGTGGACTAAATGTTTACAGACGAAGCAGAATTCTTTCCATGCGGCAAAGTATCGGTTTCTCTCTGCATATATCCCTCAACGGCTCTGATTTGCTTTTATTTCACTGTGTGAATAAGTTTTTAAGTTTTTTCTCACCAGATTCACTTTACAGACTGTAAATCAAGAATGCAGACTATCTCTCATGAGGGGAATATAAAGAAAACCGCTTCACAGTAAACTAACCCAAACCCAGCACTGACACATTTTAGTGTTGACCAACATGAATACTTTCTGGATTTTTTTTCTTCCCTGCAGCACAATAATAAAGACTGCACACACATGTCATCATGTAACGTAGAGGTTTAAAGTTTCAAAATCGCAACATGGATGGCCTAACCACTGAACAATTAGGTTAAGTTTGACATGAAACAATAGCGCATTAGTGAATTATGAGAAATGCCGATTACACCAAACACCAGCGCTTTGTTCACACTAAAAATCTGCAGGCACCTCGGCTGCTGAATGAGTTATTACTGAAGGTGCAAAGTCATTTAATGGGGCATGAGGTGGCCTCTCGCAGCCTGGTTTTGATTACGAGAATTCCTTCGAATCTGGGACATTCCCTGAGACTGCACGTGTCGCAGATTTGACATTCTGCTCATGTACAGCAACATGAGAAGCCACAAACGTGATGAAGTTAAACACATTTACAGCGCCATAAAGTATCACTACAAAGTATGAGAATACTTAGGCACCGCTGGCCCGTTTCCCAGACAGGCATTGGGCCTGCTTCTTGGTTAAAGTGCCCATAATAAACGTAAATTGGCTTTTTCTGATATGGCTTGTAATAGTATCACATTAAATCGTAATGCCTTATCCACACAGCGTAGGAAAGCACATTGCTAGCTTTGTTCGACACATTTTTCTGGAACCAATGTAGATTTAAAGCATGGTGGGATTAGAAAAGCTAGCTAATTAGTGGACAGCTGGGCAGTTAGCTAGCATGCTAATTCCACCATGATTAATGCTACACTGGTTACAGACAAGGAGTTGAACCGCAGGCTGATGAGCAGCGGTCTGATGGTTCCTGTGCCTCAGTCCTCGCCGCTGCAGACGAGGACAAGCTAACTAGCTAACTAGCTAATTAGCCATCCATCCGTCTCAAGATCTGCAACCGCTCTCCACTTTATGATCCCACTGACGTGTGTCGTCCCCATAACGACTAATAACAACCACAGGAAACAGTTAAATGTCCGTTAAACTCCGATTTTATTTCTATGTGCCATCTGCAAATACTCTCACAAATGAGGACTAAAATAGACGGTTGAGATCAATCTAATTTAACTCCAGGACTCTGCAATCAAGAAGTTACGACTCTTAAGCAATGTGTTGCAGATGTGTTACGGAAAAGCCACTTTTAAAACAAGGATTATTCTAAATTAAGGCTTGTTCCTGGTTTAATTCCTCCTCTGTCCAGAAACAGGCCCCATTAGTTGTAGTTTAATGATCAGAGACAGAGTTTGTGTGTATTACCTCACACTCTGATCTGAGAAACACGCTTCTTCTCGTGGGCTATAAAGTTGTGTGAGACGCAAAAGTGTGGAAACATGAGACCAGGTTTTGTGCCCCGATCATTTTAATGCCCAATTTTAGGGCAACTGTGAAGTGGATGTCTGAGGATTTAGGTTGCAAGACAAACATATTGCAGCCTGGTGGTCTTACAATGCAACATATAGGGGGAAAGAATAACTGGATCACTTGTGTTGTTCACAGTGCAGCTCTTGATTGTTTTGGTGGGAAATCCTGCAGTTAAGACCAGTGAAGCACGATCGTGTCATGGCAATGCACTTCTCATTTTATTTGGATTTTAGAAAATACAACAAGCAAATAAGAAGCTCCAGAACAAAAGAAAACACATGTTGGTAGAACAATAAGTTAAACAAAAGTGTGAAAGAAACCCTTTAGAGTAAACGAGTATGAAAAGCCTCGTAAGTGAACTGTTACACACCGTATGCTGAAGAGATCGGGATGAAACAAATATGTACAATACCAAAGAAACGTGGTAGCAATATAATTTTCACATAATTTACAAGATAACTAGTATAGATGGCATACCAGCAGCTACACATCACTGTTGATATCTAAAACAAATGGTGGACATCAGCACTACATAATTCATTTTTAGTTTTGTTAGAAACATTTCTAAAATCAAGAACAACATCACTCTTCTCCACCCAGTTTACTTCACTATTCACAATAAGCCAGAGACTGAATGGCCACATATTGGAGTCATAATGACTTCTTTCTCCTCGACAGAAAGAAAATCCACGTTGTCCTCCTCCTTTCTCTTTCTCATGGCGCTCCCTTTCTGTTTCCCCTCTCTCAGAGGAAATCTATATTTCATTTGCTTCATGGACTTGGCCGTGAGCAGGAATTTGAGTTCATAATAGGACGGGAATAAAAGTATCCAACTTCTGTCTTTTTCCATATTCCAAAGAGGAACTGTAACGTATATATATAAAGTGGGTCGAAAAAAAACTAAAGAAGGTGTCAACAAATGGAGTGTTTCTGATAAACAGACGCAGTGAACTTCTCACTCATGTTGTTTTATGAACTGGAATTCTTCAGCGTGAACACGAGCGAGAGTTGAAGTTCCTCTCTCGGTCAGGTGCTCGAGAGAGAGAGAGAACGTGTATCAAAGTTAATTCATCATTAAAGTATTTTTCTTGCAAAAAGGTTGTTTATAATTCAAGATTGTGGAAGAACTTTTAAGGACGTCTCCTGCAGGGTTTTATTTACATTTCAGTGGGTGGTGCTTTGGATAGCTGCATACGGAGTCATTTACTACCGGTTATAGCTCGGTAAAACCCAGTTATCTGCTTATAAGGAATTATTGCTGAAAGATAAGCATCAAAACAGAGAAGTTCTCTCTGAAAGTCTGAAAAATAAACTGCATAGAGTTACAAAATGCAAAAAATGTCCATCGGCAACATGATTATGATGTGTAACTGTAACATATTTTAATAACAGGAGGAACCTTTACACCCCTTAACGATGCTAAAACGAAATATCATTATACCTTAAACCGCTTTGCAAAACACATACCGACATGGTACTTCTGGGAAACTGCAAATGCAATGTGAAATAATGCAAAATGATTCTGAAAGGCAGAAAAAACACCAATCAACTTAAAATTCTCTGGTGATAATCCATATCACACACACACACACACACACACACACACACACACACACACACACACACACATACACACACACACA